GGAGCAAATTGGCCGCGGAGGGCACGGGCGATGCGCCAGTCCAGGATGGGCGGGCGGGGGGCGTTGCCAGTCTCACCATCCGCCACCATTCCCCTCCGTCGCCCCCCCCCGCCCCGCCATCTACGCTATCGCTTCAGTTGCCCGCGGCATCCGTAAGCCCCCCCCATCTTTATTAGGTCGGCGGTTGCACAAGACGAGACACATGAAACGATTAACAAACAGCCGCGTTGTTCTGGGTTGAGTGCGCCTGTAAGCATAGCGTTGCCGTCGCCCCCGCGCGATTGCCCAGGAGGCCGACGCCGCCGAGGGCATCGCGACGGGCGCTGCTGCATCCACGCCATCCGAAGCAGCATCCACAGCAACGCATCCAGAGGTTTCACAGCAGCATCCACAACATCAGGTGCATCCAGAAGATCCACAGCAGGGGCAGGAGGCGATGCCAGGCCATCCCACGCAGCCACCGCCGCCAGAGATGGCAGCGCCTCCGCAGGCAGTCGATAAGGAGGTCGATGATAAGATCAAAGACAGTGGCGGGGGCCATGCTGGCATGGTCGTTGAGCTGCCAGCCGAGCAGACGCCGACCGTCGAGGTCGGAGGGGAATCGATATCGCATGATATGTTGGTGTGCTATGCGCTGTGTGGCGTTGCGAAAGGGCATTGCTATGGTCTATGGTATGCGCTATGATATGTTATCCCATCGTATGGTATGTTACGGTCTGCCATTATTGGTCATCAGTGTTATGGGTTTCGCTTTCATATGCTATGCCGCGCTATGAGCTATGGCGTACGGGGTGCATGGTTTCCGGACATTGCTCGCAGGACTGGGCTTTCCCGAGGTGCAACCTCCAGACTCCCGTGTCTGTGGCGCTCCGCAAGAGGGGAGGGGGAGGGGCCCGTGCAAGGGGCCAACATGCCACCGGACACTTTACTGCAAGTGCTTAGTCTGTGCGTTCACACAGGAGGAGGAAGGGGAGCGGAGTGAGGAGGAGGAGGAGGAGGAGGAGGTACAGGGACGGAGGATCGGGAGGACGAGGGCGTGGCGACGCCGCCTCTCTCGCCAGGCCGGCACCATCGCCCCGGTCTCCGCCGTTGGGACTAGTACCCCCGATGGCAAGGGCGACGGCGTGCAGTTGGAGCATGATTTGGAGGCGTTGCTCGAAGACGGCAACGCTCCGCAGCAGGCGGGGGCGGCGAGCGGCGATCCCCCGTCCGTGAGCGGCGAGCCCCCGTCCCTGAGCGGCGAGCCCCCGTCCCTGAGCGGCGACTTCGCGCAGGGTGACGAGCCCGCATTTCGGAAATCCGTTCACATAACGGCGGGCGATGACGACGGGTTATGGGACCTTGACGGCGAGGTTATGGGTCCACCGAAGAAGGTACCCAAGCGGACTTTGGCACGTCACGACTCTCAGTGCTCGTCCTTCAGCTTGCTGGATGATATCAGCGACGAGGAGCCCGTCGGCGAGGACGCGCAGCTGGGCGACGCTGACATTTTGAGCGGAGAGGCCGCGCTGGGAACGAGCAAACAGTTTGCCAGGAGCTAGGTAGGAGCAGCAGCTAGCCCATTCCATGGGGGGTGCGCCCGCCCCCCGAGGTCGGGGGTCGCGATCGCGCTATCGGAGGCGCGCGCGACCTCGAGAGCGCGACTAAGAGCGCTGGAGGTCCGCGCGGGCGCGCCGAGGTCACCCGGGAGAACTGGAATAGTTGGTCAGCCCGGGAAAACGCCCGGGAAAAGCCCGGGAAAACTGTTGACCAACAATTCGGGTGAAGCCTGACCAACAATTCTTATGCGAGCCCGCTCGCATAAGAATTGTTGGTCAGGCTTCACCCGAATAGTTGGTCAGCCCGGGAAAACGCCCGGGAAAACTGTCGACCAACAATTCCAGGAGGTCGACCAACAATTCCAGGACTTCCCGAACGCCCTCGGGCTCGCGTCGTGCGCTCGAGCGCCCATGATGTCCCCCAGTGGTCCGCCGATGGCCCGGGGGGCGGCGGGCGGGCGACGGTGGAGGAGGAAAGGATGGGGATACCAGGAGGGGGGATGGGGGAGGACTGGAGCGGGGGGGGCGAGGAGGAAGAGTGGAAGCGACGACGGCGGATGGAGGGGGCCAGAGCGACGGCGGTAGGGGGGTGAGGAGAGGAGGGGGGGAGGGGGGATTTGGAGGATGGGGGGCGTCTCGCTCCTCGCCCTGCCGCGCCCGAGGCTTGGCGCTGTTCTGGGTGTTCGGTCGTGTACAGCATGGGGGATATCAGGTGCTCGAAGTGCATGATGACGCGAGACGGCACAAAGATCAAGGAGCCCCTTGAGGACGAGATGATGGAGGCCGAATCCCCGATGGTCGCGGCCTTGGGCCGCGTCTGGAAGCGGTTAGCCTGCCCAGATCGATTAGAATTGCGTGCGAACCTCTCCGACCTCAAGAAGACTATGGGCAGTGAGTCATTCAAGGTGGCCACTGCGTGCAGCGGGAGCGACGTGGTCATACCGACTTTGAAGAATATTCTGGACTGCTTTAGCCAGGAGCTCGGCATCTCGTTCGACATGGAGCACCTCTTCTCGTGCGAGAACGTGGAGTTTAAACAGAAATGGATTCAGGAACACTTCGGGGATGAGTTCACGTTGTTCCCTGACCTGGCGCGCTTGGCGGAGAAGCAGACTGAAGATATCGAGGGCCGTCTTGTTCGGATACCGCAGGCGTTCCTGTACATCGTTGGGGCCGAGTGCGACTCGGTCTCGGGGCTCAACAATAATCGCGCGGAGAACTATCCAGCTGCCTGCGGCAAGCCCCGCCACCGTGCCAGCCCGAGGTATATTGCATAGTCATTGGGATGTTGTGGGAGGCCCGCAGGGCTCTTGTCGGAGGCACGTTTGTCGCCTCTTGGGGGACAGCCGGGGGGCATCTTGGGCCCCTCTCGGCAGGAGATGCCATGCGGCCGCATTTGGCGGGCTCGCG